TCCTTGATATGGATCCCTATTTTCGTAAGAATTCTGGTATGTGGACTGAGTGGGAGAGAAAGAGTAGGCTCGACAATAGGCCCCTTGCGGTAGCGTAAGTGCTTCGTGTCAGCTTTGCTCTTCCTCTTCTACTGCTGCACCCTCGCCACGCCTTATTCGGCCTACCTGGATCTGCAAGAGGTACGGTATTTGCCGGGACTTGTTCTCTGACATAATCATCGATTATCTGCCTCTCAGTTGAAGCATCAGGGCACTAAGCCGCCGAGGCCAGTATCATTGGAGTCGCGCTTTATGAACCAGAGACGCTACGACTTCACTTGGATGCACCCCCAGGATAAATTGTGAGCGCAGTTTGCGAAGGTTTTTTAGTTGTTACGTACTCTTGTCAGCTGCTCCGAATGCCGCCCTGTTGAACTGGAGTGTAAGAAGATGTGCTTCGATCGTTACAGGTCCATGGACTACCGCATGTACGGCTTCCAGAGGCCTCGTATCCAGACCTACTACTCCTTCTCTACTTGGTGAGTGAGACTACCTTCGATGATGTGTCGTTACTCCAGGTCTAGGTAAGTGTTGATCTCATATTGGTGCTTATAAGACTTCCCGTACACTTCTGGCTGGGTGCCTGGAGACATGTTATTGCTCATGCTTAAATAGTAATGGTTATTTGTCCAGTTGTTGGAGGTGCTACGGCCCTCCACTCCTGGTCAAGGCTGAGTCCTTATTGTGATGGTATCATTTCATTTGGTCTTTGCAGCCCGTCTAGGCTTGATGGTAGGCTATTTTGTTAACTTGCAGCGCAGTGTTGGGCAACTACTATGGGGCCTTGGTGGATTCGAGTGTTTTGCAGTATTGTGCTTTATTTTTCTGAAGCCCCCTGAGGGATATGTTCTCGTTTCTATCCAAGCTGACAACTGACTCGCCCAAGAAGGAGGCGGCTGAGGAATCCACAGTCGCAGTCGCCGAAGAGGTGGGACTGTCGACTTGTTAATGATGGGAATGTTTGTTTCAGGTAACCGGTACAGGAGTGGAGGTTACTAGTGTTACCGTTACTAAAGTTGAGGAGGAGCCCAAGGGAACGTCTGAGACCAATGCAGCAACTGGCAGTGTTGAACCTGTAGCCTCTGCTGTGGAGGAGTCGAATGGAGCTAAGGTCGCTGATGGTGAGAGTGATGAGGCCGCAGTGGCTAAGAAGGAGGATGCTTTGCGATCCACTAGTGAAGGGAAAGATGAGGAGAAGAAGAAGTCTGCTGAAAGTGGAGTGCCTGAGGTGTCCCAAGCTAAGGTCACTTCAACCGAAAACAAAACTACAACTGAGATGGGAACTCCTGAGGCGACAAAGGAGAGTTCTACGCCGACTGAGGTTGAGAAGGAAGAGGCGAGTGCTTCGAGAGAAAATGTGACCGAGAAGTCACCTAAGGAGACACCCAAGAGTACCAGTGGGAATAAGAAGAACAAGGGGAAGAAGAGCGTTGAGAACAGCCCGAGTATGTCGTTGATGGTCGTGATGGTCGTTGAGGTAATATTGTGTAGGTAAAAACGGCGAAGATCTGGAGAAGGAGAATGAGGAGCTGAAGAAGAGGATATCTGACCTCACAAAGAGGTAGTATATCGCAATGTTAGTGGTAGCGAGGTTCAATCGTAATGTGCCAGGTATGAAGAGCAACACTCGGAGTTTGCCCAGAAGAGGTCGGAGCAGAAGCAACTCGTCAGTGTTATCACGCAGCTTTACCAGTTGACTATGGTGAGTGATAGGAGTGTATTTACTTTGAGTAAGCACGGAGGCGCTTCAGGGTATTGATTCTAACACGCCTACGACCGAATTTCCAAAGCAGCGTAACAGTTCCTCCCCGAAGACTCAGTCGAGCTCCACTGATAAGAAGGGTCGCAAGACCCAACGGAGGTGAGGTTGACTGAAGTTTGCGATATGTTTCCTGGTGATTGGCTATTACGTATGTTCTTACATGTTCAGCCCTGGAAGTGCTGGTCCTAGCTCCTCGGCCCTCACTAAGGGCGACAAGGCAGCTGTATCACCTTCCTCTAATGCTACCGATAAGAAGTCTGCGGCGTCAGCATATCGTCGCTCTCAGGAGCGAAGTCTGCAACAACTCATTGCAGAGGTAAGAACAACAGCTTGTGGAGGTAGTTCCGAGTGGTGGTGTGTAGGCTAAAGCTCGTCAAGCACAGTTGAAGAGCAAGAGAAAGAGCGAAAGCAGTGGTGAGCGCAGTGGCGTTTCTCCAGAATAGCTTGTGCACGATGTTGGTTTAGTTGTCGCATCTGGCCCCAACCCTGAGTCCGTCCGCGAGCAGCTTCGAGTGGCCACTACTAAGAAGGAAGTTGAGGATGCTATCAACGATGTAACGCATGCGTCTTCGAAAAACGTTGGGACTAATTTTACTTAAATCGCTTCAGGCGAAGAAGCTGAATATGACCTACGAATTGTCCCTCGGTGAGAAAAAGCTCAACGCCTTGACAGCGTAAGGAGGTCAGTTTTCAAAGCACGCGGATGTCGGAGTGTCTCAGATGAATAGTTTCACCTCAACATCGAGAGCTACATTAATGACCATTGCTAGGGCAGGCATCTTTCTACTGTGAGACTGAGCGGTGCTGTCGGCACCCGTGCTTGTGCTTGTCAACTCTGTCGTTTGATCGCTAACAAGTGCAGTGCATTGTTTCTATGTGTGCCCGTGACGATGTATCGCGTTGCTGATGGAAGTGGGCGTTTTGTGATCGGCAGTATAAGTAAACATGGAGCCTTCGGGAGTTGAAGCCACTGGGGAACGCATCTTTTGCCCGGAGCAAATACAGATACCGCAACAGCTACACGAAGTAAGACTACGACGAACCGATTCTAGGGTGGTTGTTTTTTTGTTCGTTTGATATGATTGTCTTTCGGTCAGGTGCTGAAGGACCTGACGAAAGAAGTAGTGTACCGGTCGGCGAGCGTGGGATGTGTGACGTAGTGTAGGTGATTCGTTGTAATCCTGTGGGAGTGGACAAAGTATCTGATGAAGAAGCTCAAGCCCGAATATACAAGTTCGCTATCAAGTTGTGTGAGCAAAAAGTAGGAGTGTTCGGTTTTCTTGTCACCGTGTGGGCTGCGTGCGAGCGAAAGTGTTTGACGCTGGTCGTTCCTGTTCAGCTGGAGGCTCTCAACGGGAACACAGCTCTGAGTGATTCTAAGGTAGAGGGATAATAAGCATGCTGCTGTTAGTGATTGTGGTTAGCAACGACTTTGGGTGTTGGGTTACATTGGATGGAGTTGGGACGTTTCACATTCGAAAGTCGTACGGCCTTAGCCGTTCGCGCCACAGAAAGGACTTGTGCTTCAATCATCTCGCCGAAGGGAAGAAGTGATAAGTTCATCGATCTGTATGTCGACATCTAACACTACCGCACTTTTGCGGAATCTGAATAAGAAACTTCGAGAGGTGAGGGCTCTGCGTAACAAGATAGAAAACGGGGTGATTCGAGAAGAACTATTAACTGGCCCCCAGAGGTAAGCCGCGCTCGCTCTCGTTAATTCTGATCAAGATGGCTGGACGTGTGTTTCACGAATGCAAATCTGTGGTTACTCATCTATTCACAGTTGAATTGTTTAGTGTTCTCAGGGCGAAGCTTGCTCGGGAAGAGGATTTGCTGGATGAAATACAGAGAATTCAGAACACGCAGAAGTCAGAGGACGCCATTCCAGAATCTGATAATTGTGCACTGGATGGACCACAGAGCACGGGCCAAGAACAGGCGTGCGAGTCAGCGCCGAGTGAGACCGAAAAGATAAAGACCACAGCGATGGAAGGTACTTCACTAGGAGGGTCGGCGGATTGGCTCTTGCGTTGGTTCTCGACGTCGACGCGCCCGGTTTCAGTTGAGGCAGCGCCTGGTCAAAAACGTCGAGCGAAAATTCGTAGTGTGAAGAAGAAGCTTCACGATATCTACAAACTGGTGGAGGCCTCGGAGAGCGGCAAGACACTCACGGAACAGCAGCGACTGAAAATAGCCAGGCGACCAGAGTTGGTACTAGGGGACGAGGGTTCAACGTTCACTCACTCTGGGGGGAGTAGTTTGTCGTAGTACCGAAGCTTGAGAAACACTGCTGGATCAAATTTTTCGAGAGTGCATCTGTTGCCGTTTTAAAGGAGTTGCTATTTTGAAGCCCACCACGAATTTGTTTGTAGGAGTCTCAGCTGGAAGGTCTCCACCAGGAAGCAAAGGTGGAGGCAACTAGCGCTGCACCTGAGGCCGGGGATGTGCCGTCGAAAGCTACTGACCAGCCCGCTCGAACGCCTGGCACGACAGCTAGTGGGGTGAATGATGATGAGGAGCCTGATGATGATGACAGTGGCGAGTGGATACCTTCTGACCCCAAGCTTAGGAAAGCAATGAAACGGAAAACATCGTAATAGCGCAGGTCTTTCTCTGTTTGTTAGCGTCTCTCAACTGCTCATCTACTCAAAAGCGACCAGCGTCAACAGTGTCCGAGTTTCTAATTCAGGTTTGAAATCGGCCGCTCGACGCTGTCCGAGAAGATTTGCCGCGTGGTGAGTGAACGCCAAGATTCTATATCGGATTTCCACCAGTGTTCGAGTCAGATCCGCCAGCCCCCGGATGGTTCCTGCCTTTTCCATGGGCTGGGGTATTGGCTGAATAAGCCTCAGCATGTTATACGACGTCAGTTGTCAGGCTTCCTTAGGCACAATGCTTCAACGGTGAAAGTGAGTTACGCGTGTTGGAATATGTTCGTTTTCCTCAGCTGAGCTCAAGAGTTTCCTCGCGAATTCGGATGGAAGTTTACAGAAACCAACAGTAATTTCCCGAAAATTTCTCAGAATTTTCATATTGTCACCAACTTTTGTGCAACTTCGGTGTGAATATAGGATTACTCTCAGCTCAATGGCCTTACCCTCGAAGAGTGGATCAGAGCCGAGTCTAATTCACGGACTCTTGACCAGTAGCGATTCCCCAGCGTGCAGTTCGTAGCCTTGCTTGTCTTCAGCTATTGCAACAACCTCCTTCGGGACAACACGTGGGGAGGGGAGATTGAGCTGGTGGCTACGTCCATGTACTGCTAGGTCCCTTCTTCTCGCGTGACCATGTGTCGTTATCATGGTAGGATCTACAACTGCGATGTCTACGTATGGCAACATGAAGATGCTCCCAAGAGCCAGACTGGGAAATATGTATTGTGCTACAAGTTTCACGCTCCACCGATTGAAAAGGACGTTTCTCGGAGACGAAGTGGGTGTCTGGATTCTTGCAGGGCTGGGTTCAGCTTCTTCTTGGTTTCAGACAATGATGGGAGGGATATGGAGGAGCCTATTACTTGTCATATGCTCTTCGACGGTCGGAAACATTATAATGTACGTCGCTGCTGTCTCTCTGTGTCTCTCTGCTACCAAGAGGCGCTCTGTGATGAGATTGGTATAGTCCTTTTTTGTTTCAGGTTCTTGTCCTCGACGAGAAGTACTGTCCAAAATAGTCGATTCACGTGTAATCTATTGAACATTGTTTCTCCACCACAGAAATGTTATTTATCTCGGGGACATAAACTGCGACGGAATGTCTCCGATCTACATATTACAGTGTCTGGGCGCGCGCTTTTTCATATCTGGTTTCGCGTCACACTCTTGTTCACGCGTTCTCCATAGCTCCTCGCGCAGTAAGTGATAGACAGTTTGCGTCGGGAACATATTGAATATTACTCTGGACTTGCTAGTTCGGCTCGTTTACTTGAGTAGCATCGTGAAGGCCGACGGTATGACAGGACGAGCATTATTCACAACTATTGTCTGTAGTTCTTATCTGTGTACAATCATGATGAAGAAGAGAACAACAAATCGCTTTGCAGCCGCGGCTGGATTAGCCCAGATGGAGGTCCCTTCTGAGTTCGACACAAGCTCGTGGGAGATCTTGTCGCCGCAGCCCCCTGGGGCTGCCCTATCGGATCCCTTCGACTGGCCCTCCGCATCCTCTGTCTTATCATCGCCGTACGCTGGCCCACCTACTGGTGAAGGGGAATCGACCATCCGCCAACAACTACGTAAAACACGTGTTTGTAAGCACTTCCTCAAGGGTCGTTGTCACTACGGTGCCTCCTGTACTTTTGCTCATTATGACAGTGAGCTCTTCAAAAAGCCCAACTTGGCCAGGACTAAGATGTGTACCAAACCCCAGTGTAACGACCCCGAGTGTACCTATGCACATTCTTTGGAGGAACTAAGACAGCCAGGTGAGGCTTCTGATATGGACACTGCCCGGGTTGACATGCAGCATGAGAAAGTGCTTGGTGAGCAGCGGGCTTTGTTGACGGTCCATGGCCTCATGGCGCAGACTGGTGATGGTGCTACTGAGGGTCTTAGCCCTGGAATTCTCCCGAGTCCCTCCCTACTCCCCACACCACCGACAGGGTACACTATGGGTGCTCCCTTTGGGAACCCTAGGCGGAGGAGTGGTCATTCTCCAATTGATGGGTCGCGCTCTCGAAGTAGCCTCAAGATATCTACCCTTCATGCGTTGGCGACTAAAAACGAGGAGCTTCGAAGACAAGTGGAAATGAGTAACGTGGCTCTCGCCCATCTACTGCAGGTGGCCACAGCTCAAGCAGTTCCGGAAACTCCCTTCGTGACGGTGACGCCGCCATCGAATGTGTTTTCGCAGCAACAACAAGAACGAGACGGGACGACGCCTCCTCCTTCGGACATGGAGGGAAGCAATGTATCCGCCAATGCGGGTACGCCTGTGGCGGTTGATGACAGCAGTGGTATGGAAGACCTCGACGCGGATGCCTTGTCCCAGTTGTTGGCCAGCATATCGGTAGATAGTGCGAATTGCCAGTGGGATTCTAATGAGGGGGTTGCCCCTACGGTCAACGTCATGCCCGCGCCGAATGACTCGGTTGGTGTAGGGGAGTCTGAGAAGGTGTCTTCTGTCGAGAAGAAGTGATGATATGTTTACTAACTCGCGCCAGCCCGTTGACTCGGACATGCGTTGTCTCTCACTGCAGAATTATAGTAAGTTGAATAGCAGCGGTATTGACGTTCCATCGTAGTTGTGAAGTATTTGATTAAATGATATATTTTCAATGGTCGATCGATATGGTGGTATTGGTCGTCCTCCATTGGTAGTTGTTGATATTATCACTAGTCTGGCTCCTGACGACTGATTTGCATTGGAGCCAGTACTATGAGGAGACCAATGGTTTAGTATTTTGTACTTAGTTGGATAGGAGCTCCTCAATACTTGTCTTCTATTTTAGTACTGTTCTGCGGTGGTTGGCGCGGTCGTTGTAGTCGAAAAAGAGGTAGATATTTGTATAATCGTGTTTAATATCGGAGACTAACTTTCGGGTCTATCTGATATGAGTAATTGTAATATGAATAGTGCTAAGGGCACTCCTTCCACTACGCCGCCACGAACGTACATAAGATTATTGAAGTAGGCAAATGGGCAGGAGGTCTTTCATTTCGCAAGCGCGGGAGAGTTACTATGAAACAGTCGTGGTAATTTTGTGTTCCCAATATGCTGATGTTATTATTCAACGTTTTGATGAGTATGAGCAGAGCGGCTATTTGCAGCGCAAAGACTCCAAAGCCGCATAATGGCACTCCTGTTCACTCTTCCAATTCTGGATGTGTATGCGAAACAAAGGTGATCTTGTCTACTGCGACGTTGTTTCGTGACGTTATAGTGTCGGCTTGGCGCGAAATTTAACTGTAATTATTGACATCCACTAGTCTTTTAAACGTCATCGTGGCATTCTAAAGGTGTTGTCGTTGTTACTAGGGGGTGTCAGGCGCGAGATGTGAAGGCGAATGGGAGGGGCGACCGACTGTCTTAGTTCGTGGGTAGTGGTGGCATGGGAGTCTCGTCAGTTGGTGTTGGAGTTTTTTATCATAACTTTTTTCAATGCTCTCGAGAGGTGGCAGTGGACCTGGCGGAGAAGACGGTGACGATGATGACGATGATAGGAGATATGATGGACAGAAGAGAGACGGGTTTATATCCAAGTGGCTCTTGCCTACTACCAGCGAGAGGAGGGCACTGTCATCAGACTCAGAATTAACACAGGGTGACGATAT